TTCAAACAATGACAGTATTGTCTTCTCTCTCTGTCTCTTTTATTACACTTCCTCTTTCTGTTCGCCACTCTCTGTCTCTCCGTCTCCAACTGCTCTAAATATTGCACCTTAACATTCAACGAATTAGTTCTAAGCTCTGCAGTCGTGCCACATCCACTAGTGAATGGTGGTGGACAATTAAACATTCACTAGGGTTGGACGCTCCACAAATATCCCCATCCTCAATGATGGAAGAGCCCAGCACATCAGGGCAAAAGATAAGGCTAAAGCATTCGCAGCAGTCTTCAGCTAGAGTTGTCCACATGGACTACAGTAAGACATTTGACAAGGTTCTGCATGGAAGACTGGTTAGCAAGGTTAGATCACATGGAATACAGGAAGAACTAGCCATTTGGATACCAAATTAGCTAGAAAGTAGGAGACATAGGGTGGTGGTGGAGGGTTACTTTTTTTGGTTTGGAGGCCTGTGACCAGCAATGTGCCACAAGAATTGGTGCTGGGTCTACTGCTTTCTGTCAATTATATAAAAGATTTGGATGTGAATATAGTGGGAATGGTTAGTAAATGTCCAGATGACAAATTGGTAGTATAGTGCACAGCAAAGAAGGTTACCTCAAAGTACAACGAGACCTTTATCACATTGGCCAAGGAGTGACAGATGGAATTTAATCTAGATAAGTGTGAAGTGCTACATTTTGGTAGGGCTATTCAGGGCAGGACATACACTGTTAAGGTCCTGGGAGTGTTGCTGAACAGAGACCTTGTGGTGCAGGTTCATTGTTCCATGAAAGTAGAGTCACAGGTGGACAGGATAATGAAGAAGGCATTTGGTACGCTTGCCTTTATTGATCAGTGCATTGAGTATAGGAGTTGGGAGGTCACATTGTAGCTGTGCAGGACATTGGTTAGGCCACTTTTGGAATACTGTGTTCAGTTCCAGCCTCCCTGCTTTGTGAAGGATGTTGTGAGACTTAAAAGGGTTCAGAGAAGATTTACAAGGATGTAGCCAGGGTTGGAGGGTTTGAGCTCTGTGGGAAAGGCTGAATAGGCTGGGACTATTTTGAAATAGGTAACATTTAGAAATAAAGGTCTCATTTTGATGGCCAGGAATACTGGCCCTCCGACAGTGCGGCGCTCCCTCAGCACTGGCCCTCCGACAGTGCGGGCTATTTTCCCTGGAATGTCAAAGGCTGAGGGGGTGACCTTATTGATATTTATAAAATCATGGGGGGCATGGATAGGGTGAATAGGAGAGATCTTTTCCCTGGGATGGGTGAGTCCAAAACTAGAAGGGCATAGGTTTAAGACGAGAGGGGAAAGATTTAAGAGGGACCCTAGGAGCAACTTTTTCGCGCAGAGGGTGGTGCGTGTATGGAATGAGCTGCCACAGGAAGCAGTTGAGGCTGGTACAATTACAACATCTAAAAGGCATCTGGATGGGTATATGGATAGGAATGGTTTAAAGGGATATGGATCAAAAGCTGGCAAATGGGACTAGATTAATTTCGGATATCTGTTCAGTACAGACGATTTGGACCAAAGGATCTGTTTCCATGCTGTACAATTCTATGACTCTTAAGTGCTGAGTGGATGATCAGCATCACAGATACCAGACTTCACCTGCTATAACCTGCTCAATGACACCCAGTTTGGGTTCCGCCAGGGCCACTCAGCTCCTGACCTCATTACAGCCTTGGTTCAAACATGGCCAAAAGAGCTGAATTCCAGAGGTGAGGTGAGAATGACAGCCCATGACATCAAGTCTGCATTCGACCGAGTGTGGCATGACATTCTTCAGCTTGAAGCAACTCCTGGACATCTCTGCAGGAGTTCCTCAGGGTAATGCCCTCGGCCTAACCATCTTCAGCTGCTTCATCAATGACCTTCCGTCTGTCATAAGGTCAGAAGTGGGGATGTTCGCCAATGATTACACAATGTTCAGCACCATTCGTGACTCCTCAGATACTGAAGCAGTTCATGTTCAAATGTAATATGATCTGGACAATATCCAGGTTTGGGCTAACAAAATGGCATGTAACATTTGTGCCACAAAAATGGCAGGTTATGACCATCTCCATCTGGAGAATCTAGCCACTGCCCCTTGACATTCAATGGCATTGCTATCAATGAATTCCCTGTAGTTGGAGGGTCGGCGCTGAGGGAGCGCCGCAGTGTCGGAGGGTCGGCGCTGAGGGAGTGCCGCACTGTCAGAGAGTCAGTATTCCTGGCCATCAAAATGGGACCTTTATTTCTAAATGTTACCTATTTTTTACTTCTACCAGCTTTGGAGTTGCTGACTCCTGGATCTGTTTCTTCCAATCTGTTGAACAGCTGCTGTGCCACTTACATATTGTTTCCTTTCTCTTCCAAATTGCACAAGGATCTATCTGTTCCTTAAATCCCTGCTGTTCACTCCATAAACCTGCAGCTGTAACCCCAGCATTGAGACAAGTAACTTTAACCCGTTCATAGTCTCGTCTTCCCACAGAGTTAAGTAAAACTCTAAGAGGCTTCTACACTAAGTTGCTTTGGAATAAGGTTTGTATGAGAATAAGATTTTTCTCCAGAATAAGAGAATAACGTAGGCAGCACGGTGGTACAGTGGTTAGCACTACTGCCTCACAGCACTAGGGACCTGGGTTCGATTCCACCCTTGGGCAACTGTCTGCGTTGACTCTGCACATTCTCCTCGTGTCTGCGTGGGTTTCCTCCCACAGTCCAAAGATGTGCAGGTTAGGTGGATTGGCTGTGCTAAATTTCCTGTAGTGCTCAGGGATGTGTAGGTTATGTGGGTTTATAGGGGGATGGGTCTGGGTGGGATGCTTTGAGGTTTGGTGTGGACTTGTTGGGCCAAAGGGCCTGTTTCCACACTGTAGGGATTCTAAAACTCTCCTCCAGCCATTGCAGCTTTATCATAGTTTTCAGAAAATACATTTCCACTCCTTCCTCTCTCCTTTTAGATATTGGTGTAGATTTCATCACAAAGCAAAACTGGGAATTAAATCTGAATCATCAGCCACTATTCCTGCCACTCATGTTTGCGTAAACAATACACTTTCAACTTCCTTCTCTGTTTTCTCATTCTAGTCTCTTTTTCTCTCTCTCTCTCTCTTTGAAATTCATGCTTCTGATTTCTTTCCCTCATTCTATCTTTCTCCAATCCCCTGCAGTTTGAGGTTTTTTCCTTTCCTTGCATTTTAGAATATGTTTGAGTTTCATATCTCTCTCTGTTACATTTTTTATTGTATTTCTCCATTTCCAGCTGTTTTATTTGCAGCTAAATTGTGGTTAATTTAGTCTGAGTGTTACTAGCACCAGTAATTTCCTCAGTCATGTTTCAGGTATTGAGACATTGCTCCAATGATCTCTGCCTTAGTTTTAGTTCTACTCCTAGTTCCTCTGCCACCCACTTCAATTTAACCCCAATCAACTGCAAGGCATGTACTGACAGGTACTCTCTCTCTTTCTGTCTCTTTCTCTCCTTATCTCTCTGTCTCTCTATCTGTTAGAGGTTAAGTGCTGAAGTTTTTTTCCTTTCAATTTTGGCAAATTCCAGTGTACTGATTCCCTGTCACTGGATTCATATCCTGCAGGAATTACTAATTTGTCATTGTCATACTTTAGAAGGAGATGAATTCCTCCATGCCTGATGTAAACAAGTAATAAGGCGAGATATCCGATTTTAAGACTTTAACCGTAGTCAACTGTAGCATTGACTAATCATTACTTTGCGGGCAACTCAACACGAAGCCACAGGGAAAGCTGCTTCCTATAAACCTAACAGCACAAAATGACCTGCTTATACACTACATACATTCTTCATAGACAGGCAGCCGTCTGTTTACATGTAGGATCATAGAACTTTGGAACAGGAGTAGGCCATTCAGCCCCTCAATCCTGATCTGAAATGCACTGCCTGGCGAGGTAATGGAGGCCAGAAATCTTATAACCTTTAAACAAATATTTGGATGGGCATTTCAAATATCATAACATTCAAGGATGTGGGGCAAGTGCATGAAATTAGGATTAGCACACTTTTAATGCTAGTTATGTCAGTGTAGACCCGATAGGCTGAAGGGGCATTTCTGCTCTGTATGAATCTATGATCCATTATTCACTGATATCATGGCTGACAAAGCTTCTTCCAAATGTCACAGCATGGCTGCTCCCTGTCTTGATCAGGGTGAGTCTTACAGTGTCCTAAACAAATTGCCCTTTACTTAACCTTGTGGGAGGTGATGGCCTAATGGTATTATTGCTGGACTGTTAAACCAGAGACTCCAGATAATGTTCTGGGGACCTGGGTTTGAATCCCGACCACAGCAGATGGTAGAATTTGAATTTAATAAAATATCTGGAATTAAGAATCTAATGACCATGAATCCGTTGTCAATTGTTGGAAAAACCCATCTGGATCACTAATGCCCTTTAGGGAAGGAAACTGCCATCCTTACCTGGTCTGGCCTACATGTGACTCCAGACCCACAGCAATGTGGTTGACTCTGACCTGCCCTCTTGGCAATTAATGGACAATAAATGCTGCCTGGTCAGTGACACCCTCGTTCCATTAATGAATAAAGGGGAAAAAAAAACTTCTGAGCATAATCGAATGGCCTTCATGTTGTAAACTGACTTGCGGTGTTTCTGAGCTCTTTATATCTTCTTCAAACAGGGGTCAGTCCTCCCCAGCATTCCACTTACTCCAAAAACACTCCTTTCCATGTGTGTAATATAACAGTACCTGCTCCTCTAACACCTCTTTATCTGACTGACTGTGAGAGGCTGTGTGTTGAAGCAGTAGTTCCCCCGTGTTAAAACTTGGGCCTAACTTTGAACAAGGTTCAAGTAGAGCTTCTGCCTCCATGCCAAGCACCTTACATGGGCTTGTCTCCAGGCAGACCCCAATCCCCCTTCTAAAGTATTCTGTTTCTCCTTGAATCAAAGGAGACACCATAGCTATCTATGTAAGTCCAGCATTTGTAACCTTTCTGTCTCCACAGACCATCCTGAAACTCCTAGTGTCTGGCGAGGGCAAATCAAGGACTGGAGTAATGATCCCGATCCCACAATACCCACTCTATTCAGCAGCTATTGCAGAGCTCAATGGAGTCCAGGTCAATTACTACCTTGATGAAGAGAACTGCTGGGCTCTGAACATCAGTGAGCTCCGACGGGCACTCAATGAAGCCAGAAGCCACTGCAACCCAAAAGTACTTTGTACCATTAACCCTGGAAACCCCACAGGTAACTGAAAGCAGGGCTAAGCAGGATTGGGGGGCTCGCGACAGTCAGCAGGTGGATTCTCTTGCTGCAAGGATCTGCATCTGGGAGTGGGGGCATGATCTCCTCATCACAATACAGTCTTGATTAGGATCTCTCTATAAGACTACAAGGAGCAGAGGTAGACTGTTCGGCCCATTGAGTCTGTTCTGTCCTTCAATATGACTATGGTTGATCTGATAACTCTCAACACAACTTTCCTGCACCCCCCCACCCCCCAACCCTCCAATAACCATCCATTCCCTTTGACTGATTAAAAATCTGTCTGTCTCAACCTTGACTATACTGAAAGACCCAACCTGGACAGCCCTCTGAGGTTAAAAAGAATTCCACAGATTCAATCTGGGGGAAGGGTTCAGGTCAGGGGACAGAGTTCAGAGTTGCGGGGTTTGGCTGATGGGGTGGGTTTGGGTTGAGGAAGTGGAAAAGGGACATAGAACATGGAACAGTACAGCACAGTACAGGCCCTTCAGCCCACAATGTTGTACCGACCTATTATCCTACTAAGATCAAACTACCCTGCATACCCTACATTTTACTATCCCCCATGTGCCTATCCAAGAGTCGCTTAAATGTCTCTAAAGTATCTGACTCCACTACCACTGCCGGCAGCGCATTCCACACACCCACCACTCTCTGTGTAAAGAACCTACCTCTGACATCTCCCCTATACCTTCCTCCCATCACCTTGAAGTTATGCCCCCTTGTGATAGTCAATTCCACCCTAGGAAAAAATCTCTGGCTATCCACTGTATCTATGCCTGTCATCATCTTGTACTTGTACAAGTTGGGGGTAGGATTTGAGCCATGAGGGAGGGGTGTTGGGTCAGTGGAGTGGTCGGAGGGGAATGGGGAGGGCATTCCTCCTCCCACTTCTCTTGCTCCTCCCCAACTACTACCCCTCCTGTTAATTCATCTGTTCTTTGCTGTCCTCCTATAGGCCAGGTCCAGAACCGGCAGGTTATAGAAGATGTGATTCGATTCGCTGCTGAAGAGGGGCTTTTCTTGATGGCGGACGAGGTAACTTACTGCAAGTCGCTGCTATTGAGCAACTAGACTCAATGAATGGCTGCACTAGCCCCTGGAGCTCTGGGAATTCTGGACATGGTCTTGGGGACCTGCTAGAGAGTGTTAAGTGATGAGTTAGGCTTCTCCAATCCCTGACTACAACTGAGCCTACTAACCTTTACTACCCCATGAGCCCCAGCTTGTCTAACCTCACCCTCTAACCAAAGCTGGGGGATTTTTAATGTCCACTATCAAGAGTGGATCAGTAGGAACACTACTGATTGAGTTGGTCGGGTCCTAAAGGACATAGCTTCCAGACTGGGGCAGTTGGTGAAGAAACCAACAAGAGGCAAAAACATACTTTACCTCATCCTCGCCAATCTGCCGGTTGCAGATGTATCAGTCATAGAGATGTGCAGCACAGAAACAGACCCTTTGGTTCAACTCGTCCATGCCGACCAGATATCCTAAATTAATCTAGTCCCATTTGCCAGCATTTGGCCCATATCCCCCTAAACCCTTCCTATTCATATACCCATCCAGATGCCTTTTAAATGTTGTAATTGTACCAGCCTATACCACTTCCTCTGGCAGCTCATTCCTCTGTGTGAAAGAGTTGCCCCTTAGGTCCCTTTTAAATGTTTCCCCTCTCACCTTAAGCCTATGCCCTCTAGTATTAGACTCTCCTACCCTGCGAAAAGATCTTGGCTATTCACCCTATCCAAGCCTCTCATGATTTTATAAATCTTTATAAGATCACCCCTCAGCCTCTGATGCTCCAGGGAAAATAGCCCCAGCCTGTTCAGCCTCTCCCTATAGCTCAAACCCCCCCAACCCTGGCAACATCCTTGCACATCTTTTCTGAACCCTTTCAAGTCTCACAACATCCTTCACAAAGCAGGAGACCAGAACTGAACACAGTATTCCAAAAATGGTCTAACCAATGTCCTGTACAGCCACAACATGACCTTCCAACTCTTATACTCAGTGCACTGACCAATAAAAGCAAGCATACAAAACACCACCTTCACTATCCTGTCTGCCCTCGACTCTATGTCCAAAGAACTACGAACCTGCACACCAAGATCTCTTTGTTCAGCAACACTCCCCAAGACACTACTATTAAGTGTATAAGTCCTGCCCTGATTTGCCTTACCAAATACAGCACCTCACGTTTAACTGAATTTGACTCAATTTGCCACTTCTTGGCCCATTTGCCCATCTGATCAAGGTCCCATTGTAACCACCGCTGTCCATTACACCACCAATTTTGGTGACATTTGCAAATTTGCTGACCATACCTCCTATATTCACATCCCCTGGACAGTATTTGTAAGAGTGACCACTGCAATCATGTTAAGAATAACCTCCATTGTGTTGTGAGGCACTATCACTGTGCTAAATGGGATAGATATTAAAAAGATCTAGCAACTCAAGACTGGGCATCCATGAGGCGCAGTGGGCCATCAACTGCAACAGAATTGTATTCATATGAGTGCAGCTCCAGCAAAAGCCAAAAATCTCAACACCATCCAGGACAAAGCAGCCCGCTTGATTGGCACCACACCCACAAGCATCCACTCCCTCCACCACCGATGCTCAGTAGCAGCAGGGTGTACCAACTATTCACTACCATGTTTATTAGGTTTGCTCACCCAGAGGATGGGGGGTCTGGAAAGCACTGCCTGGGAGGGTAGTTCAGGCAGGAAGCCTCACCACCTTTACAAAGTACCTGGCTGAGCACTTGAAATGGCAGAATGTTCAAGGTATGGGCCTAGCTGTGTAGAACTTTCGTTCAACCACATTTGGAATACTGCATACAGTTCTGGTCACCACACTATTGGAAGGATGTGGAGGCTTTGGAGAGGGCACAGAAACAGTTTGGGATGTTGCCTGGTTTGGAAGGCATTAGCAATGAGGTGAGATTGGACAAATTTGGTTTGTTTTCACTTGAATGACAAAAGATGAGAGGGCGACCTGGTAGAATTTTACAAAATTAAAGGCATAGCTAGAATGGATAGTCAAATGTCAATTAATATAGGACATAGGTTTAAGATCAAAGGGGAAAGTTTAAAGGAGATGTGAGAAGCAAGTTTATTTTTTGCACAGAGGGTGGTTAGTGCTGTCCTGGAATGTGCTGCCGTAGGATGTTGTGGAGACAGATATAACAGCAACATTTAAGAGGCTTCCTGACAGGTACTTGAACAGGTAGGGAATACAGGGATACAGACTGTGTAGAGGCAAAAGGGTTTTACTTTAGGAAGGTGTTTGTGTGGGGACAGGCTTAGTGGGCCAAAGGGCCGGTTTCTGTGCTGGACTGTTCTTTATCTTAGTGCACGAAAGTGAGATTAGATTTAAGTAGATTTGTTGGTGCAGAGTCGATGGTTCAAAGGGCCTCTTCTGTATGATTCTAAAGATGCACTGCAGAAATTCACCAAAGTGGGAGGAGGAGGATTGTGGTAGGAGGGTGCTTGATGGAAGCGTTAGGGTTTTGGTGGGTAGATGGTTTTGGGAGAAGGTGAAGATTTTGGTAGGTTGGTGATTTGTGGGGAGGGGGAGGATTTTGGTGTGGGGGTGGTTTGGGAGTGGTAGTTGGCTTGCTGAGGAATTTTCTGCAAAGAAACAAATGTGGGATGTGGGGAAGAATTGAAGTGGGCTTTTGCGCTGAAAGACTTCCCATGTGCCGTTGCACGAGTACTATTATAGTGAGCAGCCAAAGTACTGTGACTTCTCACCTGTTACCTTTCCTCCCAACAGGTCTATCAGGACAATGTCTACGCGGAGGGCTGTCAGTTCCATTCCTTTAAGAAAGTTCTCTTTGAGATGGGTCCTGAGTATTCCAACAATGTGGAATTGGCTTCATTCCACTCGATCTCCAAGGGTTATATGGGAGAGTAAGTACACTGAGTGAGGCAATAGTGTGAGGGTGAATTGGATGAGGTGTGTGTAATAGGATGGGTCACTGGGCCAGGGAGGGGAGTGAGTACTCTTGAAGATAGTGGAAGGGTGAAGCTGAGACATCTTCAATTAATGGGATAATTGACTGCTTCCTGGTAACCCATCCATCCTTTTCAGGCTATGTGTATTGACTTTGACCCTCCCTTCACCCAGTGCCTTATGTTTTTGCAAAAATACACTTTATTCAAAAAAAAAACTTTGTCAATGTTCACAGATATTAAAGCAGTTCTGTACAGTCTTTGCAGAAAAACAAACGCTGGAATTTGACATTCCCTGCAGTTGCCCCAAGGCATTTCTAACTCATGCGGGAGAGTATTTTTATACATTGAGGCAATGAGAAGGTTTGATAGCTGACATAGGCTGTCGTTAAATTATGGCAGCAAGACCTTAGATGGTGGTCTTTCCCCACTTCACCTTGGCGGCGGAGCTGCACCAAGCTTTAGTGTGTCCCTCAGCAGGTAGTCCTGGGCCTTAGAATGCCCCTCTTTCGCAGTTATGTCCACACTCGGGTGTCCCTGGACTGGGACCATGCGGTGTTCCCAGTACAATGGAAGCCTTTGGCGACCATGGACACTGGGAGGCTGGAGAGCATCATCAGTTTGGACAATGATATTCTGATTCAGTAAAGTTCCCATTCAACATTTTAAGTTTGTGTTTGTTCTTGGTTTTGTGCCCAGAAAAGAGCTGTTTTATTTTTCTTTTGTATTGATTTTGGACGCCTTGGAAGAGCCAAGGGGAACTTTTATTTCAACTCCATACTGTCCCTGTCCCGATGTGCTTCATGGAATTAGTGTGAGGGCAATTTTATTTTTGGTTGAAATGAGTAGAGGAACTTTCCTCTGGATTTTAAACCCTTGTTTAAAGCATTTTGATGGGGACAAAGCAGAGGGGATTAATTCTTTTCTTTCATTTTCTTTTATTTTAAATGAGTCAAGAAACATTTATTTTACATTTTTGGCCCCTTGTGGTTCCTGCTCCAAGATTGATTGGTGGGGACAAAGTCAAGGGAGAGCCATTTTTTTATTACATAGAACATAGAACATAGAACATTACAGCGCAGTACAGGCCCTTCGG